GTTACCAGTGAAAGCCTACAAGGCCTGGCTACAAGGAGTATATAACATAACTCACCAAGTTACCAGTGAAAGCCTACAAGGCCTGGCTACAAGGAGTATATAACATAACTCACCAAGTTACCAGTGAAAGCCTACAAGGCCTGGCTACAAGGAGTATATAACATGTAACATATGTACAAGGATTATATGACTCACCCAAATTGCTGATGAAAGCCTTCAAGGCTTGGTTATGAAGAGTGTAAGACTCACGATGCTACTAGTGCAAGCCTCAAAGGCCTGGCTACAAGAAGTATAGGACTCACCAAGTTAATAGTGCAAGTCTACAAGGAGTATATAGCATATAACTCACCAAGTTACTACTACAAATCTCAAAGGCCTGACTACGAGAAGTATATGACTCACCCAACTTACTGAGAAAAGCCTACAAAGCCTGGTTATGAAGAGTATATGACTGACCAAGTTACTAGTGCAAGCCTTCAAGGTTTGGTTAAACAATGTCACACAGTATAATGCATATAAAAGTAAAAGCAGTCATACTATACCCAATAGTAGTAGCGTGAATCTAGTCATGGCTCCCGAGACCGAAATACTTGATAACAAACAAGGAGCAATCAAAGTTTTGGCTGGTCAATAACACTAACAAAAAAAATCATGGCAAACTTCCAAGTTTCATTGGAAGCTGTATGAAAGACTGAAAAAAGCATGTGAAACTGTCACTGTTAATAATAGAAGTGGTGGAAGTGCAAAGCCAAAACTCTCCAAAAACGATGTTACATGTCAGAGTGTATGTTTATAATGGAATAGTAAATGGTCAAGATCTTGCCAACATTTTTGCTGTAAATACAGGTGTGAATGTGATCTCAAGAACAGTAAGATACGCATTAACAAAGAGATATCAGTTGACATATTAGATGTTTGAAAACACTGATACAAAGAGGTAACCAAAAAGGTAAAAAGGCATCAGATTACAAACAAGTAAAAACTTGAGAAATGTGCTCTTTACAGATGAAACCAAGTTTGAATTGTTAACAATCAATAACAGTCGTTTGATGGTAGAGAGGGAAAACGGTATCACACTCAATTCACATTTACAGTGATGCAAAGTAGAGGATCAGTACGACGTAAGAATGCATTCCAACCAAAAAAAGTGCCAGCGATCTACGCAAAACTGATGCCACTTGTGATATACCCACATGAATACAACTCATTAGGTAAGGATTCATCTTCCAGGAAGAAAATAATCCCAAGCAAATATAGAAAAATAAATTCTTGATGGTAAAGAGCCCAATGGGAAAACTCACAACCATCATTTGGCCTGTTCACAGCCTTGATATGAACATGCTTCAGACTAAGTGGGCTTATGCAAAAATTGAGATAGTCAAAAGGTGACTAAAAACTTGGCTGAGTTTTGGGGAGTAATCCAGAGCACTTAGTGCAATATTCCAAAATCTTACTTTTTTTTATAGCATCTGTGTTCATGTTTTGTGCCATCAATGAAATCAACGTCTAGCTCCAGTTGTTTACGACTCTTGCAGATTAAACAAATTAGCATAAATGTTTTAATAAAATATAAATTAACTCATAGTCATAGGTCTATTATACTGTTATATGATACTCTATTTAAAATAAAACTATTTTTAATAATAACATAAGATATGAGCTCCACTTGTTTGTAAATAAACAGTAAAAAAAAGCGAGAAAAATCATCTCATAGATAACATTATCATTGGTCTACCTGAATAAGAAGCCAGAGGAGCATGTTCTTTATTTGCGTCTGGGCAAACAGTTCGGAGCCAAACTTAATACAAATGATTGCCTCTGTCATCATAATGGCACTAGAAGACAAAAAAAAGAAGGCTGACGAGTGGTCCAACGAACAATATAGCTATCTCAGCATACAACTAAAAATATTCCAAACCTGTGTTTTTACACTAAAAATGCCTTAGATGTTTGATGACCTGCACCTCCTAGTTATAACAGTATTGTAGTTTTAATACTGTGTACTTGTTATATGACCTACAAATTAAGTTCTAATTAAACAATAATTTATTTATTTCATTTAATGCTGGTGTTAAAATTATGTTGAAATTTAACAAGAACAGATTTATTTTACTTTGAAAGTCTACTCCTTTTAAAAAAAATCGGTTGGTTCAACTCCATTCATTCATTAATTCAATACTTGTTTCTCACCGATACAACTGACCAAGGCCGAAGCAATAGTTCATGAAGCATTAGTTATAATTTTCATTTATTTACACCAAATCTAAGTAAACAAAAAACAGTTCTCTTTGCACTTAAAAGTTGAAGTGTGCTTTCCTCACCAGAAATGATAAGTATATATAAGATAGTGAAAGGATAATTCAAACATCAAACACTGAGAAAGACGTGGTCTTATTCTCTGATTTGCCATTAACCACAGTTACTTGCAGAGGGTGGAATTCTTTAAAACCTATCTGACTTGGCATACATATGCTAAGTCAATGAATAAACTGGGCTAAAATAGTAGTTAAGCCATTTTTTATATATCTTTCAACTCTTTTTTTTGAGATGGCAACAAACTGACAAATATAGCTTTCTGGTTCAAAATTTTGCTTGCTTAGAATTACCAACTGGATTTAAAAAACAATTCTAAGGTATTCATTTACTAAATTATTTGTGGATCTATAAGTGTTTGATTATGGGGTGCCTAATGATCCATACAAAAAATAGAATATGATTATGTATTAAGTCCCCAGTGTATTTAACATAAAAAATTGGGGATTTTGTCCAATTTTTTTGACTGGTTCTTTATAATGAGTATTGTAGCCCAATATATAATACAACACTGGATATAATCGCAAGTAAACTAAATAAAAACAAGTTTGTAATTTTAGGGATAAGTCATCAACATGTCATACCTACATTTTATGAAAGAAAACAAATTTTCTGTGTTATATCAAGATCAGTTTAAAATGTTAAACCAATAATTTTCATAACATAAAATATCCACAAATGTCAAAGTTAACAAACCATAACTAAAACAGTTGAATAACCTATATATATAATCATACAGCTACCACTTATAGAATAGCCTATATATATATATATATA